CCCAACTGCCGGGAGCCCCGGTTGGGAGGCCCTGCTCTCCCACGGGCTCAGTTGAGCCGCGCTCTAGGCCCAGCCCGGCTGCGCCAGGCCAAGGCCTTTCTTCTTTTCTAGCTCCTCAGTTTGCTCCAAGGCCCCAGGAGACCAAGTCTCCGCCCGTGTCCCCCTCCACACCTGAGTGCTCTGCCCTTGGAGCGTTCCCAAGGAGGAGAGCTGCAAAAGGAGTCGGGCAGAGAGGCAGGGAGACCATGCCAGGGAGAGAAAGCCTCTTCTTGGGAACATCCCTGCTCCACAGGGGTGGGTTTAACATTGCAGAGGAAATCTGCAACTCCAGCTTCTTGGGAAAGGCTTGGTTCCCTCAGCACAGGAGCTCAAACGCTGCTCTCCCGGGAACAGCAGGAAAAACGTGGGGCGCACACGATGCCGGCCTGCCTTGCRCACGGAGAGCACGACACCCGCCGCAAAGCTCCTTCCCAGAGCTCCTCCATGCTACGCGGCTCCTAGGGGTCAATATGGAGAAGTGAAGGCAAGGGGCAGCACTCCAGTCTCCTCACAAAGCCCAGGACCCGCTGGCAGGCGGGAGAGCAGCCTCTGCACCAGCAAGGAGCTCCCAGGAGGGAGGCCAGGACCCGAGCTCCGCTCGCCCGTCCTGCCGCGCAGCACTTGCGCTGGGCAGAGGCGAATGAGCACAGAGCGAGGAAACACGAGACAGGGGCCTTTATTGGAGCAGTCTCCCCCTCCTGCCCGCACAAAGCGCAGAGCAGGCGGCAAGGCCGGCACGCCGGGCCGCTCCGYGCGCCCCCGGGCAGGGCCCTTCCCAGCCCTCATTCCGGCCTTCCCCCGGCGCAGCCTGCGGCGCGGCTCCTTCTCCGCCTCGGGGCCTCGGCCTCCGCTCGCCGCCTTGCCCACGTGGACACTCAAAGCTGGACGGCAGCCTCCAGCAGCCCCGTAGCGCCCCTCTTCTGACCACGGAGATGCCGTGGCCTGTGCAAATCCGCAGGGTCCCCGCTCTCCATGCCTTACTTGCCAGCGGGGTTCTCTCCGGCACCGCAGGAGGTGTTGGCAGAGCCCGTCTCAGACGGATGCCCCTTGCTCTTCCCAAACTCAATGACCAGCGGCTTCCCCTGCAGGTTGTACCCGTTCAGAAGCTGCATTGCCTGCTGTGCCGCCTGCACGTCTGCAACGAGAGGGTGAAACACCAGCTCCAAGACAAACCCAGCAAGTTCCTGCATGGACACAGGTGGTGGGGAACACACAGTCCTGGATCACAGAGCCTCCATGAGCACCAAGAACAATGGCAGGGCTCAATCACTCAGTTGGTGTGACACAGAACACRGCCTGCAACACCCCCTCTGCTTTGATGGACCTGTCACGGGAATGAATTCACCTCCGGCTCCATGGACAACTGGCTTGGGACCAGCCCAGCACTCTGTGGCGCGGAGGTGGCGCCTTCAGGAACGAGAAAAGGACCGTGAGGCCCAAGGAGCAACTCACCAGGGAGCGTGATGAAAGCCTGGCCCCTCATGCGGCCGCTCAGCAGGCGGAACTGCACTGGCGGGCTGCTCTCCGTCTGGAAGCGAGCGAACAACGACACGAGCTCCTTCATCGTCACCCGAGGGCCCAGGTTCTTCAAATACAGCACCTAKTCCCAAGAGGAAGGGTTGGTCAGCCTGCACCACGCAAACAGGCCACCCTCCCACCGGTGCCAGCCTGTGCACCCCACAGCAATTGAGTAGTTTGGTCCCCTCTGCCTYCCCAGAGTCTGTTCTTCCCCTTGACACTAACAGTTTGGAAGACGGAGGCAGCGCTGGACCTRAGGCACCACCATGCTCTATCTGCAAGTTGCTGACTGCTGCAGTTATTCCTAGAATATCCTAGGAACCCCTTCACCAGTTAAACAGCTTGAACCAGGTCTTGACTGCCAGTCAGACGGGGCTCTGCAGGGCAGCCTTGCCAGGCAGGGCGACTTCTGCTGCGCTCCAGGGGCCCCTTTCCTCCCACGGCAGGAGCTGCTCCCTCRGGCATCCGGGGGATCAAGCAGGCAACAAGCATTCAACAGCAGGGGCACCTCTGCCTGCAGAGGGGGCCTTGGCACATGCCAGCTAGGAAGGTGAGCACATCTTGGGTACATCTCAACATACCTTGCTGGGCTCCCCGGGATGGTAGGAGGCAAACCTGGGAATACGCCGGATCTCCTCCTCCGAGAGCCTGTTCTTACGGATCTCCTCTTCCRAAACAAACTCCACCGGCTCTTTTATAGTCACGGGCCTCGGTGGGGCCTGGGGAGGCTTTGCTGCAGGAAGGCTGGCACCTGGTTCCTGCTCCCCCTGCTCGGGAAGCGCCGTCTCCTCCGTGGCCTCCTTCGGGGGCTCGCACAGGGGCACGCACGGATCACACGTCGCAGGCTGCGGCTCCTCAGGCAGCTCTTTGTGCAGCAGCTCCTGGTACACACTCTCCAGGTGATCCATGGGGTCCTTTTCGTTTGCTGTACTCTTCGGAGTGTCATCTAATTCACCACAAAGAAACACATCAACATTACTACCAACAACCACCCGGCAAACAACAAAGAATTCAGGGAGAAACAGACAGGACCCCTAGCAAAGTCCTATTCTAGGCAAAACTCCATGCACTTGCTATCTGCCACCTGCAGATGACTTAAATTAGGAAGAAAAGCCCCAAAACTGACCCAGGACAGACCTGCAGAGAGCAGCAGCTCCACCAGTGCTTTGCACAGAACTCATTTTTCTACATATGGTCTCCTTAGCTTATCTGCAATYRCATTTCAGCAGCCTGGCAATTCCCWCCTCTTCCTCCTGCACGGCCAGGATGTACCATGCTGATTTAACTTGGTATTTTGCTTCCAGAGGCACCACCAGGTTAAACCAATGGATTTAAAGAAGGTCCATATCAGGGATGGGCCAAACACACGTCCTTTATTGTATCTAATCGAAATGAGGGTGGAAATGAAAGGGGGCTCTCCCAGCCCCACTTTGCTGCCTCCTGGTCTTCCTCATCACCGCAACACTGATGTAGCACCAGAGGAGGGAGCAGGGACCAGAGGACCTGGGAGCCAGCTGCACGTAAAGACGGAGCAGCATCAACCCCAAACAGAGCAGTGTTCTCACCTTGTCATCTATTTAACCCCGTCTGACACACAAAACCAGGCTGGGCCAGGAGCTTCACCTCTGCACGTTCCCCAGCTCAAGCAGAAGGAGCTGTTAAAATCTGTCTGGGCAACACTAGACTCTCCGTCCAAAAAATCACATTAAACACGTGAGGGTTTTAGGCACTGCTAAGGTGAGTGGTGGCACCACCCCATGAGCCTCACTCAACTGGAAATTGGTGAACGGGCTCTGTTCCCACCCATGCTACTGAGTTGGGGGCCTTTATCAAGCCACTGTTTGCTCCGTGCCTTCGCTTCCCTCCCGCTCTTGCCAGGGAGAGAGAATCTCTAGTCTGGAGACTGTGTCCCTGGGCCAGAGCACGCGGCTGGCCGCGCAGAGCCGCCAGCTGCGCCTGTGGGAGCTGTGGGAGCGGCGCAGGCGCAGCCGCGGGCCCCGTACCTTGGTGGTAGAGAGCGCGCAGGAAGGCGTGCCGGTCGGTGCCCTGGAAGAGCGCGTTCTCGATCTCCATCTCGCGGCGGCTCAGCTGCTTGCTGCCGGCGAAGCGCTGCGGCAGCGCGAGGATGCGCTGCCGCTCGGCCAGCTTCTCGCGGATGGCGCCGAGGCGCTGGCGCGTGGCGTCGGGCGCCGCGCCGAGCCCCGCGCCCTGCGGGACACAGAGCGAGCGGCGCTCAGCCGCGCCGCCGCCCAGCCGCTCCCCAGCCCCAGCGGCATCCGAACGGCTTTGCTGCCTTTCCCCCACCCATCTTTTCCAGAATCCAGAGAGCACCTTGTTGTCTGGCGTYGAGGCTGCATTTTCCTTATTCGGTTCTTTCAGAAYTGCTGTGGCAGATCCCTCTGCCTCRGGCAAGGGACCAGGCTTTGTCCCACCACACATCCCAGAGATTTTCCCAAGGATGCCTCTCCTTCCCTCCTGACTCCACCTGCCTACCTCTGCTCTGCTTCTACCCACCGTTTCACGGCTTCTCTGCAGCACAAAGGGCTGTCTATGTGGAAAAGCAACTCTAGGAATGATTTGCACACCTTGTTTGCGGAAGAATTAGAAATCAGTAGTTGTAAATAAGAAAAGCCTGCAGTGATAAGAGCTCCACGGGCAGCCTGGAGTCCTCTTGGCCTCAGCCAGCTCCTCCTCGATGGAGTATTTCACTTGGGGCCCTCCACCTCCAAAGCTGCAAATCTCTACTAGGCTTGAGTCTTTTCTCTCTAAATATTATTCTCCTCTCACGAGTGGTAGGAAGTACACCCTAATGTCTGTGACTTTCTGTCAGACTAGTGTTTGCCATTCTGTTTTTTATTTCTAAATAKCTCTCCGCTGACTCTGCTCCAAATTTAACAGATTGTGCTGTTGGCATTAATTTTCACTCTAAAGGAAAACCGCCCACCTCCTTAAGCCGAGCCCAAATGCAGGCTCCAAAGGCTGGGTTTGCATTTAAAAACTGAAGTAATGACTTCAGTGGGAGAGAGGCAAACCCACGATTACCGCTGACTTACTGCTTCCTTCCACACATAGCTACTGCTCAGCGAGAGGAGGAGGAGTTGGAGGGAAGCCACAAGTCAATTCAAGTCCTGTTCTGTACCTCCTGCTTTACCAAATTTAAGAGGAGGCCCAGAGCACTTGTCACAGACTGATCCCAACAGCCCCTTGTCCTGAAACGTGAAACAAACAGGTAAAGGAAGGGGAAGAGGGAAGCTGCATCTCTTGCCTGTCAGTTTGCCTTTGGGGATGCTTTGCTGCCAGCTGCACCCCAAGAGGGGCTGGTCACGGCCACACTTGGTTGAACAGCTCTGCACTGCTACTTCGGTTGTTCCCTAGGTGGAGGAACATGCAAAACCTTCCACACAAACGGCTCTCCCAAGCCTGCCGTGGAACCCAGCAGTGGCAGAAAACAGAAAGGAGGTTTGGCTGCTCTGAAATCTTTTCTCTTTTCCTTCCTCCCGCTTTTAGTATTTTTTTTTTAATTACACAAGTGAAATGACTCCCTCATCACCCTCAAGGTGCTCTGTGACACAGGAATACAACCAGGTCCTGCCACGCTCCCAATAACCGACTTTTTTTTGTCTCTCTCAGTTTTTGACACAGACCAAACTTTAACCAAAGCAAACGGGCCAGAAGAAATACCTTTAGACCAGCATGATCAGACAAGAGATCACATAGAGGAGCTACTCGTTACTAAAGGGATTACACAGGGCTTCAGTTTCCCACRGAGAAAAGCGGGACCTGACAAGACAGGGCTGAAAGGATCTGTCGCATACAGGTTCCCTAGGAAGCTTCTCACCTTCTCTGTGGAAGCCTGGTTCTTCCAGAGCAGGATCTCTGCATCCGAGAGCCCCAGTTCCCGGAGAGAGGCAGTTTCCCTGTCGCTCTCCTGCAGCGCCTGGAACTGCGACAAGCTCAAGGCCCCYGCGGCCTCCTCCCCGAAGGGCTTGTAGAAAGCTGCAGGGGCGAAGCATCTGCGCTTCGACTTGCACCTGCAACCCCGAGCGGAGAAAGGCCCTTGAGAAGCGCTCAGGATCCCGCATCAGGCTCAGGATCCGCCTCTCCCCCCAGCCCCACTGCATCCTGCCCCACCTGGAACACATCCATTCTGAAACACACGCAGCCAAAATAAACGGGTCAAAATAAATTATAGCATTTGTCCCAGGAGTTCAACTGTGAATATCCCAGCTGGAGATGCTATGGGGGAGAATTTGCAGCTGCTTTGGCTTACAGGGCTCCCCGGATGAAGTACCTTCCTGGCGAGGAGGCCCCAGCCCCGCAGGACTTACTGCTCAATGGAGACCCTGGTGTCCAGCTGGTGCTGAAGGAGGCTCTTCAGCTGCCGCTCTCCCTCCGTCTCCAAGTCCTCCAAGAGGAGCTCATCGCTGCACAGGCTGCTGTTCACCCTGGGGGAAACACAGGCGGGTGGCAACAGTAAGAAACGCTCCCAACCCCTACCAGGACGGTCTCGCCACCTGCTCGATGCTTTTCAGGGGGATTAAAGGGGATTAAAATGCATGTGGAGAAAAAAAAAAAAAAAAACAACTCCACAAAAAAAACATTAACTTGAAAAACAAACATTTTMAGATTTTGAGTACCTTAAGAATACCTCAGAGTGGTTTTTTTAATACATATCCAACCTTGTTGTTCTTATTTCTATTTTTTTTAATTATTGCCTAGTTTCAAGCAATTAAAAGCGGGAAAGGGAGGCACGGGCAGCGCACGCGAAGCTGTTTGCCCTCGCTAGGCCCCGCCGAGCCGCCGGCTCCCGCCGCTCCCCGGCTCCCACACGCAGCTCGTGCCCACGCCGGGGCCTCTCCCCCCGCGCCGCGGGTCCCGGGCGAGCCGCGGCGCTCCGGGCCGCTCCGCCCGGCCCTCAGCGCGGGCTGCGGGGAGGCCCCGGGCCGCGCGCGCCGCTCACCTCCGCATGGCCGCGCCTCCAACTCCCGGCAGCGCCCGCGCGCGCCGCCCCGCGCGCCCGGGCGGAGGCTGCCGCGGGGGCTGCTGGGAGTTGTAGTTGGGGAGGGCGGGCGCCGCCTGAGGCGAGCGGCCAACAACCGCTCCCGGGGTGGTGGCGCGGCGGGAAGGGGGCGGCCGGGCGGCAGASACGGGCACGGAGGGACCCCCAGGGTCTCTTTCCTTTCCCTTTCCGGCTGTAACACACAGCACAACGGGATAAATGCATGGAGGAGGTGTAGCCATGCACAGCAGCCCCCAAAACATAAGCCTACAGAGAGTAGGGCTCAACCAAGTGCTACACAGGTCTGCCAGAAGAGTTGTGTTCCACAMCGTGTAAACATAGAAGGGATTCTGCATTAAAATAACATTTTAATCAAGAAAACAACGATAGTAGCATAGCTCTTTACACTCTTCACACTGTTCGTTATGTTTTTCCTGCTCCCTTGTGACCAAGCAAGCCCTACAAGCCCTTACACGTACCTATCTTCTACTCCCACATCTAGCATTTTTATCACAAATTCTGCTGGAATGAAGGTGCTTCAGAAACAGGTGATATACAAAAGCTGTTTATTACCAAAACAAGACCCCCATACACAGGAACAAAGCCCCAGTTGCAGCACTGGAAGCAGACTCGGTTGAAACACAGGCCAGCTTGTAGCACAGGGCACTACATTTGTCAGACGGCAAATTTGTCTACAGCTCCTTGAAGAACTTCTCAAGCAACTCAGACGAATCCAAATAAAAGCCTATGAGGCTCTGATTGCAACCATCTAAGTTGCATTTAAGCATAATAGAGGTGGAGGGCTCAGCTGTGAAATCATATAGGACTTAAACGCCCAAAGGCAGCATTTTCAGATCTACTCACTTTGCATGCGCTTACAAAGATTAAAGAACAAAACCACATAATTTCAGCACAAGCTTTCTGCAGTCTTAGMCTGGACTCACCAAATTCCAGTGCGATACTGCAGAGCAGCTTTATTTTTTATTCCAAACCAAACTAATAAAGTAGAAAAACACAAATTCAAATCAATTTTAAATCCAGGTCCCCACCAACCTCAGTTTATGAGAACAGAACTGAGGATTAATATTATAACACCCGTCAGTCTTTCAATCGAAAGTGATCCTAAAACTGCGCTCTTGCTCCTTGCGCCGGCTCTCACAAACCTTTGTCACCTCTTCTACCTTTCTCTGCAACAGGGCTGGAAAAAGAAAGAAAGAAGTGACTCATAAGCATAAAGCATAGCCTTACAGAGCTCCTGCAGAAGGAAACACACTTATTTGCTCAAGTTTGACACTGCACAGAGAAAGAGGAAAACACCAAAACACTGTTAGACTCCCAAGAGAAGATTTTCCAAGAGGCATTACGTGGCATTCAGGCAGCAGTAGGCAGATTCTGAAGATCCCTGGAACACAGCATGGCACTGTCAAGCCTGTTGTAGGCTTCTGCAATTTCAGCATACAGCTTTAGATAGCAGAGCAAACTGTCCAGAAAAATTGATGCATCATTTTTTCCCTGCTCATCTCACACCTGAGTTTTGCAAGATTCAGATCAACTATAGTCTGTTAGACATCTACACACTTTCTCATGGAATAACACCATTATAACAAGCTTTTAGCTGTAAATACATAACTGTACAGTGACACCAAAAAGCTGCAGATCACTGATGTGCCACTATATAGGCAACTAATTTAGCTATTAAATACTGTAGCTATTGCAAAAAATAAAGTTAATTTTTGCCAAAAAATAGAGCAATTTCATGGAACCTTATCAGATGTTATTCACTAAGTCTATGGCATTGTGTCAGTCTTCAACTTAATCCAGAATATCTCTAAATTTTATTCCATTGTGCGAAAATAAAAATCTTCCGCTAAAATATGAAGCGTTTTACCTTTCAGTTTGTCCATTCCCAAAAATTCACCACACAAAAGTGAGACAAGATAAATCTGCTTCACTATCACATATCTAGTCCTGCTCAATTTAAGATTCAGGTAAGCTAAGAAAGTAACTGGTTGAGGCAATACTTAGGCACAAGATTTCATCCAAACCTTTCATTTACTAGGGTCATACTACGAAGAGAACAGCATCACGCCGCTCAGCAAGCCCATTTAATCGGCTCAACACAAGAGAAGCTGAATAAATTAGCAACAATTTCATTAGAGTCTTTAGTTGCATATGATTCTTAAAAATCAGATATATTAATAGCCAAAGAGAGAAGTGTGCTTAGAAAAAGCTCAATTACTTTTGTGACACAGCCTTGGAGCTGCCCCTCACAGGAAAGTTTTTAGCTTTACGCACAGGGCAGATATCTTCTTTTTTGTTGTTGTTGTTAGAAATGCATCTTTCACAGGCCTACTTTCAAATTACTAACAGTAAAGGCTACTTTGGTTACTTCAACATCACATGTTCTTCTGCAATCTAGCATTTAAGTGCATATATTAAAAGGAATTCTTCCTCCTGTCAATAACCCCAGAGATGCAGCCACATGAATCATTTTTAAAAATCAGGCAGTTTTAAGGTTTATTGCTTCTCCCTGCTTACAGGACAACTTTTTGAAAAAGCCCTTCAACAATAGGTAATTTTAAGTTTATTCTGCAATTGGAGTCAGCAATCTCATGCCAGAGGAGGCAGACCAACACTTACTAGTTAAAAGAAAGATAGAATTCATGCTTAGCACACAGAAGTCACAGATCTTCTAGAAAACCTCACATTTAATGTTGGTCTAAGCCAACGTTATCACAATAAAATCAGAGGAAGGGGCCTGCTTCCATCCGGGATTGGTGACACCGATGGCAGCGCTTTGGACAGCGCTGCAACCAGGGGGCTGCAGTTCAGTGCTGCTGAGARCTCCATCACTGCAGTCAGCAATGCCCCCCTCTGGCCAATACCATCAAGTAAAAAAAAATTCATATGTTCTCTTCCTTTGTCTAACAATTTTCATGTGTCTTTTGTATTTTTAAATGCTGAGCTCTGAAACACCCTCATATACCAGCAAATCCATGGATAAGTCACAGTAACTGCACTAAAAAGCTTTGCACTATGAGGTGCAGCCTCTGCTCAGCATGGCCTCTCTGCACATGCAGGCACACTCAACATACTTCACATTTTTATTCCCAAATAGCCGCACAAAACTCACCTGAATTCTGGTCAATCCACTGCAAAGAATCCATATGTGCATTCAGAATTTTACAGATTTGCTGAAGCTGAAAGAAAAAGGTGCAAATATTAGTACACAAAAACCAAGAGCAGCAAGAGACAGACAGTCCCTGTGCTCTGAAACATGCAACTATCAAATTTCTCATACATGCAGCTTTACTAACAGTTATTTTCCCCAAAGTCTTTGCAGCAACTGTCTTACATTGCCTCCTTTCTGGCAGGACAGATGTTTGTTGCAGTGTATCCCTCTGCCTTGGTCTTACTCAAATTCARACCTCAAATGCAGCACATTAATCACATTAGTCTCAGGATGGCAAAAATGAAATTTAACAGGGAAAAAAGAAGTCTGCAATACTCTATTCAGATGGAGGGTTTTTTTTCCTAGTAAAAAAAAAATATCAATAAAGACAAAAGGAGTATATAATTCAGAGCCCGTTTGGTGGATACAAGTGTATTAGAAGTTAAAAAAGAGCAACTCCTGTATTTTGTACAGAAACCAGATTTGCACAAGAAAGGTGCAAAAAAAAAATCTTCTGTCTCTACTGACTTGCAAACCACGTTTGGACTCACTGGGTCACTAGTGTCTGCTGGGCCTCCTGAGGTATTGAGGTGCTCAATGATGTCCTTGAGGTCTTGTGCCATGCGCTTTAACTGAGCATCTATGTTTTCAGCCAGTTTGTATCTGCAAAACACGAGAACCAACATCACAACGTGTACAGAAAGCCCCAGAGGACCCGCTCTCAGTTGATCTACATCTCTTCTTCAGGTGAAGAGAATTAGCCCCATGATTTCCAGTCAAGACAGTGGAAACATGGGAACTGCACCATGACAGGCATTTTACTGCGTGTTTTAGATAATACCCAAGAGAATCACAGGATGGTTAAGGTTGGAAGAGACCTCTAGAGACCCAGTCCAACCCTCCTGCTCCAGCAGGGACAGCCAGAGAATGTGGCACACGGTGGCCAGGCGAGTTTTTAACATCTTAGCTCTTGCAATCGTATTTAGTTACAGATGAGCAGTACTAGTGAAGGCTTTTTAGAAGCTTAACATCAGAATTAAAGCAACCAGCTAGACAAGGCTCTTCAAGACTCATGCCTCCTGAACCAAATACTTCACCTTGTTAATACTCAGTATCTGTACCATGTTGACAAGGATACTTGAGCCACACAAAGTGCTTTCTGCTCATATTAACTGCCACTAATTACTTTATAAAAGTAATTTTGCCAATATTAATAGCCTTTTCCRAAACAGGTAGTTAGACCCACATCCACAGAGCTTTTCACGCTGATTAAAGAGGCTTCCAGKTTTTWTTTCCCTATTTTTAAGATGCAAAAATGCAATGCATAAAACAAGGTTACACATTTTAATSAGGATATTGATAGTTCAATACTGTCGTGCACCCCAACTCCACTTCTGACTGCACATCACTGCACTAGGCTGCTTATCGCATCTTCAACACAGATTCATCTTACGTTCTCTCCCTCTCTTCATCCGCGTGCTGCAAGTAAATAGTCCCACTCTGTTCCTTCACAGACTCCTCCAGAGGGGTCAACAAATCTTCCAGCTCTTTCTGTTGTGACAAAATGAAGTCTAGTTCCTGATCCAGTCTGAAAGGAAAAAAAATTACATTGGGTTTAGATATTGCATACATAACAGAACATGCAGATAAAGCCACCCCCAGTGCCCACAGTTCCTTACCTCTTCTGATCAAGCTTCACTTTTTCTACTTCTCTATGCAATGATGTAATCTAGAAACAAAACAYATTCAATAGTAGGAAAATGAGAGATCATCTGGCAAAAGACTGGAAGAACTGAGGAAACTGGTCCTACGCAAATATTTAATCACAGACAGGAAATAAACATATTTGTAGACCAGAAAATATTTAATAAAGCTTTGGCTTTGAAAACAACTCAAGATAATTTGTTCACATAACTCCATGCAGACTACTAATCAAGACATGGCCCAGTTTTCTTAAGTGCCCATATTTAATTGGCATCTTTCGTTTAAGAAGACAGACACCCTACTGGATGGCTTGCTGCCTTTATAACACTTAATATCTCTTAAGAACTAAACCAGATCAGGTTGCACCAGATGTCACCTTACCTTCTCTCCATTCTCTATCAAGGTCCGATCCCAGGCATTCACCTGAGTAGCCTGATGAAGGAAGTGCTTCTCCTGATCTTCCAGCTCCAGGCTCCACTTGTTGATCAAGCTCTCCAGCTGGGCATAAGTCATCACTGGAGGTGCGCTGAGAAGCACGAGACAATGCAGAGCACAGGATCAAAACCCAAGCTGTAAGCACAACTARGAGCACCCACTCCCTTCCCCTTCCTCCAGACACCAACAGCAACATTGCTAGTGCCCAAATCAAAACTCCCACTCACCTGGTTGTTGCTGTGCTTATAGTAGCTGTAGAAGTCACAGCTCCAATGGTACCAGTGGTAGTTAATGGCTTGAGATTCAAAGCAAAACTTACACTAGGAGCAGAAGAGCCTGAAAGAGAAGACTCAGGTGAAACAACYGAAGGTCACCTCTAGAAGAATCAGAACAGATCCAATTTACAATTCTAACCCCAGTGCTGTATGAGGTCAAAAAGGCCCTTTTAACAAGGGAACCCCATCTGACACGCACAGGCAATTGCACAATTTGATATCACTGACAGCAACACATTATAAATACCTGCAAAGTATTATAGTGGAAAGCACAATTGACAGCCTACACTGACGGGCATCACTCAAAGATAAAAACATTAGCAAAAAACCACATATGCCTCAGTGTTTAGGTATTTTAATTCTAGACCTATTAATTGCACACTCAAATCCTGCCTTGCACAACTGCAGCTACTCTGTATTCTGTAAAATATTTTTTCCTTCCCCAYCCTCTACTGCAACATCAGCACGGCCCTTTTCTACTGCCCAGCACCGCTGCCTGTGCTTATTTATTGCATTTAATGCTTACTAGTCACGGTGCTTGTTGCTGCTGCTGTCGTTCCAGGAACTTTCAACCCAAATCCAAGAGTTCCAAGAGTGCCTGTACCAGTGGAAGGGGCACCAACTGTAAACAGAAAACAAGAATTTTGAGGACCACATGGATGAACACCTAAGGGTAAGGGTCAAAGCTGACCATTAATGTCAGATGCACCAGACTCACAGCACTGTCTGACACCTAGTTAGATATAGAGCTCAGTTGTGGTGATCATTTCCCTCAAACAACAACAAAATCATCTACAGCTGCAGTTACCACTCTGCCTGCTCACTTTGAAATTAAATGTGCTCMTTGTGGACAAAACTCTCTATAATTCGTGACCAAACAAAGTCTGCCATGAAACAAGTGGGAAGCTGGCAGTCATCAAGGACAAGTGACCTTAATTGTCCTCTGTTACAAGAGCATCTGAAGCTTTGTTACTGACAGACACCACCCAGAAGCCTCATCCCTTTTCCTTCCAATCTATAAACTCTGTATTTTGTGACTTACGCGAGAGGCTGGTGGTGGTGGATGAGGCTGCTGCTGAGGAACTTGCTATAGATGCAAACAGTGTAGGCCCAGTTGAGCCAAGAAGGGAAGTTGTGGTGGTAGTTGCAGTCGTAGAAGCTGTGGATGTTGCTAGAAACAGCAGAAAAGTTTGAAACAAGCAGATATTTGTCAAACTCCAACATTTCAGAAGAGCCAAGCTGGGAAGGCTATGAATCTTTCTCTGCAGGCCAGTTTTTCATGGACACAAAGAGGATTCTGAACCTTCTCCTGTACTCATCCTCTCTTTTGTAACCTTTTTTGCTTTTACTTGTGCTTTGGTTCCAAAAAACAGTCTACAAAAAACTTCAGAATACAACCCTGCACACAGGACAGCAACAAGACCTGGTATTTTTAATGAGACAGTTCAGTGAACTTGCACAGATTGCTGATGCCACTGTAACTGCACACTAATAAATAGATCTGACCCAACGCCAGACTCCAGCAGAAACTGTAAGCTGAGGAGGAGAGTCTCTATTCTTTGAATCACTATTTCCTTAATCATGACTTACCTCCAAGTTTGGCTCCAAACGACAGCGTGGGTGCCTGGCTCGTGCTCGTGGTCAGCGTTCCCRTGGGTGCACTCGTAGCTGCTGTTGAAGTCAACGACCCAAAGTTTAGACCTGGAGCAAGGAGCAGAAGTTCAACGAAGAAGAACAAGTCATTTGTTATGTGTAAAACTCTCAAGAACGTTTCTTGCGGACCCGCAGGTGAAGAACAGTTCTAGGTGCAGCCCTCCTGGGGGGATTCCTGCGGCCCACACTGCCCCCAGCACCAAGCGAGGGCTGCAGGACCTGAGCTGGGCTCTGCACACACGCAGAGCTTTGAGGCCGGGGTGCAGCAGCCCGCACGGGGAGCTGCCCTCCCGCCGCTCCACGCTCCCGCTAGCCCCACCGACCCCATCCCGCCGGCACTGCAGCCCCAGCCCCTCCGTGCCCGCGGCAGACACACGCGAGCCCACGCCGGTGCCGTCACTCACCCGC